GACATCATTATCCAAAGTACATGTATGAAGACTTGAAAAAAAAAAAGAAAAAGACAACAGATAGAATATAAAAACTACTTATAAATCATATAGCTAATAAGGGACTTGCACCAGAATAAAGAATTCTGAATAATGAAAAGACTATTAGAAATAGTCAAATTTAGGGCTGGAGATGTGGCTCAAGCAGTAGCGTGCTCGCCTGGCGTGCGTGCGGCCCGGGTTCGATCCTCAGCACCACATACCAACAAAGATGTTGTGTCCGCCAATAACTAAAAWAAATAAATAAATATTTAAAAATTCTCAAAAAAAAAAAAAAAGAAACAGTCAAATTTTTAAATGGGCAAAGAAATAGAATAGACATATTTCAAAAAAATACAAAAATGCCCAATAAACATAAGAAAAGATGCTTGACATCATCAGATGTTGGAAATACAAGCTAAAATCACAATGAAATACCACTTCGAACCCCCTAGGATAACTATAATCAAAAAGCAGGTAATAAAAAATGCTGGCAAGGATGTGGAGAAATTAGAACCCTAGTGCATTACCATAGGAACATAAAGATGCAGTCACTTGGGAAAAGTGTGGCTAGATTCCATATGACCCAGCATTTTCACACACACACACACACACACACACACACACACACATATACATCCAAAAGAAATGACAACATGTGTCCACACAAAATCTTACACACAAATGTTTCCAACAGCATTTTTTAGATAAACAGAAAAAAGTAGAAACAATACAAATGTCCACCAAGTAATGAATGGACAGATGTGATGAGTCTAAAGAATGGCACATTATTCAGCAATCAACATGAAGGGAGCACCTTTAAAAGGGATCACACTAAGTTAAAAAGCCACTCACAAAAGGCCAAAGAGAGTGAGGTTCCATTTAGTTTAAATGTCCCAAATAGGAAATCTAGGGAGGCAGAAGAGAGACCCCTGGTTTGTTAGCGCAGAGCTTAACGCTCCTGGGTGCATTTTTCTTTTGAGGGTAATGAAAGTGTTCTAAAATTGATCGTGGGCTGGGGATGTGGCTCAAGCGGTAGGACGCTCRCCTGGCATGCGTGGGGCACTGGGTTCGATCCTCAGCACCACATAAAATAAAATAAAGATGTTGTGTCCACCGAAAAACTAAAAAATAAATATTAAAAAATTTTTAAAAAATAAAATTGATCGTGCTGGTAGATGTACAACTGTGAGCTTACAGATCATGAATTGGGAACAATGTTCGAGATGTGAATTTTATCTCAATACTGCTRTGTTAGAAAAGACTGAATGTTTACATTCCCATAATTTTATACTCTTACATTTGTCTGCACGAAGTATCAAACTGTTTCTGTTCATCTCATTTCCACTGCCAAAAGAAAGGAGCTGTACTATGTTGGAGTCATTAGTATTTTCCAAGAACCTTGGCCAAATGTCAATGTCATATTCATTAGAAAGTGTTTCTACTGTCAGTAAGGGTAGTTTTTAAAAATTCCTTTTAACTTACATAACAAATGCAAAACAAAACAAAAACATTCCTCTTTCTGGCCCCAACTAACTTTTCTAATATCAGTTATTCTACTTTTATTACCAAATATATATTATTTGAGAAATGCAAAAAGGTCACTGTTTTTTTTGTTGTTGTTGTTTTGGTTTGGTTTGGTTTGGTTTTTTTTTTGGCCAACACATTTTCAGGCAAAGAGAATCTAAAGAAAAACTTGAGAGCTGTTTTACCTAGGTAAAAAAAAAAAAAGGCTCCTAAAAGGGGACAATGTTCTGCCATGATCAGCTAGCCTTAAATCCTATGAGTAATGCTTTGTGTTTAAGTCACCTCTACCCCTGACARAAAAGCTTCAGGAAAGTGTCAGCAGCGGTGCAGCAAACTTTCAAACCTGCAATTTCGTCCTTGCTTCCTTAGGCCCAGAGCTCGAGAAAGTGTGCAATCATCCTGATTTGTTAATACCTCTGACCATACTGTATTAGGTGGCCTCTTACAGGCAAATCTACATTATACACAAATGTATCATCAACTGTCCGGAAATTCTGTGACTCAGAATCTACCATCTCACCACCTACCACAAAGTTAGTCGATAGTTTCTTGCAAGAGAGTTTGGTCTCAACAGAGGAGCTGCACATTTAGATTCATAAAAATACATGGCTGAAGAAACTGGGTGTTCATCAAAGTTTCTCCTACAATAGTACATTACCTTCATTTCAAAGGATCTTGAACTGAGAAGGGATCCACGCTTTTCCTTCAATATCTTTCCTAACAGCTCCTCCCTCTTCCACACCACTGCTTGCCACTTACATCAAGTACAACAAATAATTAAGGCACCAACCTCTGAATAACTCTATGTAATACAAAGAATCACCTATTACTAATACATATAACCTAAACTCACTTTGTCCTAACGTGGCAATGCTTACAAATACCCCTGCATCTAACACCCATCACCGATGGCTTTAAGTATATAAACAATTCTCTTCACTTCTTTACTAGCTTAGGGTTTAACAAAATTCTCACCCCTACTCTGTTAATTGGCAGACAGCTATTGAGAAGGCTTTTCACAAGATTGTTTAGAACATGTAGGGGTAGGCCATTTAGGATGCATACCCAGGCAAATAAAGTGTGATGTGTAGAGAGTTTAAGGAACAGATATATGAAAAGAATTTTAATATAAAATGCTACAGCTAGTGTAACCCA